CATTTATGCGCTATGTCAGATACGTATTTCAGAACCCTATAAACGCTGATGTCTTAGACTTATATGTGGATGACATCATAATTCATGCAGTAACAGTCGACGAATGTTTTGAAAAGATGAAGATGGTCTTTACAACAGCCGCTGCTTATGGCCTTCGAATAAAGTGGAAAAAAAATGCATTTTCTGCAAAGTACTGTAAACTGCAAAACCTGCATTATATTAAGGATGGATACGTGTGGCCAGGAGAAGAGAAGACGAATGCAGTCAGCAGATTCGCCGTGCCGAAAAATATAAAAGCAGAGCAGTCGTTTTTGGGACTTACCGGATTTTTTAGAAAATTTATTAAAGGGTATGCCGAAATTGCTAGGCCTTTAACTAATCAAACGTTGAAAAATTCACTCGTACAGGACATCTTGTATGATCGAAATGCCAGAACTGAAGTTCACACAGATGCATCAAATCAAGGATTTAGTGCAGTCTTAGTGCAGTGGTTCGATGATAAACTTTACCCAGTCTACTTCTGGAGTAAAAAGTCAACTAAAGCGGAGGCTGCTGTATTTAATACAGTTGCTGATGACGTGGTTTACTTTTTGCTCCAAGTGTGGTATCCAGTAGGTCTGCTGTACGGCGTGCACAGTTTTTTGTAGTGCGAAATGACCGGCGTTGTGGGCTTCAGTAAGTCCCAAAAACGACTGCTCTCCTTTTATATTTTTCGGCACGGCGAATCTGCTGACTGCATTCGTCTTCTCTTCTCCTGGCCACACGTATCCATCCTTAATATAATGACCTAAGAAATTTACAGTACTTTGCAGTAAATGCCTTTTTTTCCACTTTATTCGAAGGCCATAAGCAGCGGCTGTTGTAAAGACCATCTTCATCTTTTCAAAACATTCGTCGACTGTTACTGCATGAATTATGATGTCATCCACATATAAGTCTAAGACATCAGCGTTTATAGGGTTCTGAAATACGTATCTGACATAGCGCATAAATGCAGCCGGCGAGTTGCATAACCCAAAAGGAGTTTAACCCACGGTTAAACTCGTAAAGGCCATTCTTGGTCACAAAAGCTGTATATTTCTTGCTGGTTTTGGCGATGGGCACATGGTAAAACCCATTTTCCAAATCCATGACGGTGAACAACTTAGCATTATGCAGCCTTTCCAACACGTCATCAATTATCGGCACAGGAAAACAAATCCTTCAATACCATTGAATTCAGCTTTCGTAAATCGACGCACATACGATGAGAACCATCTTTCTTCTTCACCAAAACGATGCTGCTGGCGAAATTTGAAGATGACTGCCGAATAATGCCTGCGTCAAGCCACTCATTTGCTTGTTGACTGCTTCATCATCAGTGATAGACAGACGACTGGGCGACTGGCGAACCGTGCAATTTCTCCATCGGGTACAATATGCAGCATAACTGGAACTTCTTCAACAGACTGACTCGGCTTATAATTGTTGATTATCGAGCGCACGACATTTTCATACTGCAACGGTACATTTATATCAGAATCTATATATGCCAAATTATATATACTTATCTGATTAATGTTGCCACAAGCTTTCTCTCCCAACAGGAAAGAAAACTTGAATCCATCGGCCGATGACGTAAAGTTGAATTGGCTAGTAAAGTCGCCCAGCAAAGCATCGTATTCCACATCTCGATCAGCAACAACCACGAATTTGTGAGATATCTTCCCCTCATCGACCGCAACTTCTGCTTCAAAACTGCCAACAGGACGAGTAATATTGTTGCCCAAGCCACGCAGGTTTGAAAAGCAACTACGCAACTGAACATTGTGAATCCGGTCGTAAACACACTTCTTTATAATTGAGACATCTCTCCCTGTGTCGACTAAGCAGTTCACTTTGATGTTGTTCACCTGTACCACTTTGTACGCACGACGTGTACGGCTGGCGCTGCTGCTGCTGGACAATTTATGGACTTGTGTCCACTTAGGTTACAGCGGAAACACTTTGTAGCGGCTTGGCAATTCTTTCGTAAATGATCGGTGGATCCACAATTAAAGCAATGATTCTTCCTTTCGATACTGTCTGGATATACTTTTCGGCTCGGCTGGAATGGTTTCTTGTCAACTTTGTTATTTTCAAGTACACGCTCATACACTTCACACTGCTCGTGCAGCTCTCTAAACGATTTGCAACTGTACAGAGTATACTTAAAGTCGATCTTCATTTGCAGCCCATCAACAACGTAGCGTATTACTGATTGTGTGTCAATGTCTCCGATTGCAGCAATCCTCTTCATCTGGAGCATGTCTTCATGAAACGACTCCTGTTTGGATTTGCGACGTTCACGCAGCTCGGTATGAACATCTGCACTGCACTTATTGTCGCGCCTAAATTCTTCCTCCAAAAGCTTCTTGAGTTCAGCATATTCATACACGTGTGTTGACTTCAAAAATAGCTGGGCAGTGTTCGTCATTTTTGCACGTGCTTGGACATACTTCTGCTTCTCGTTAAGCCCATATGCATCTGCGTTCAACTCGAAGTTTCTGAACCAGAACTTCACCGGCATATTTATTCCATCAAATTCAGGAATAATTTTTGCTAAGCTCTCTGCCACAATTGGGCAATCATTTTTGGTTCGTTCGTCAATTTGTATATTCAACGACAGGAGCTGAACTAGTTCTTGAAGCGTTTTATTGCTGTCCTCTTCGGTTCTCTGATCGTGTACCAGCTCAATTTTTCGATCTCCGCTTTCATTGTTTATCTTGGCAACCGTTGGCGCCGGAGGCAGTTTTGCGTTCTGTTCTTGAGTCTCGTTCATTCTTACGTTTCGTGCTGACGTTTGACGGGTATACAGTGGTCTCGTTCGCACTTGTATTGGTGGTTTTTTCCTGTTGCTTTTTCACTTTACATCCACTCATGAAATATACAGTTATTTATCGACAGCGCAAATTATTTCACAACGTTTGAAGTATTTTCAGCATCAACTTTTACAATTTGCAAGACAACAGTCATTTTCATTTAAATAGTATATTAACAATCTTATCAACTTTTGTGAAACAATCTTTCCTTAAACACTTCTGACACTTTTTCTCGCAAAACACTTTAATTATTATTGGACACAGTTGAGCCCCCAAATTTGAATTATTATTTTTATGTAGTTTATTAATATTATATAAGTTCAATCCAAATTAAAGTTAAGCGTGCAAAGATATATTTTAAATAACATCGACGGGATAAAAACTCGGTAACGGCTTGCTTGACGACTGGCAATGAACGGCTGAGCACGATGGCTTTTAACGACCGACTCCAAACTGCTGCTACTGACGACTTCTTTAATACTGCTGATCTCTCGACTGCTGTTTCTCTCCGATTTATGTACTGCCGCTATAGTGCCAATGCGTGCGCCTTTGCCAACCAAATCACCGTTACATATGTACATTCGCACAAAACTAGTATAGCCTTTCACCCTTTGGGTACAGGCTATAAAGACACGAATTGCGGTGGAGTGGGGAAGGGGGGGGGGGGCGTTGTATCAGAAAAAAAAAACACAAACTCGATCTGCCTAGTGCTTAGGGGAACCTGAATATCAAGTTTGGTTATCCTAGCTATTGTAGTTGCTGACAGACAGACATGGCTATATCGACTAGTCTTGTCATCCTAATCAATAATATACATATATACTTTGTGGGGTCTGCCACGCCTCCTTCTGCCTGTTACATTTTTCAGCTCCCGCTAACCTAATATACTTCTGTACATTTCATGTACAGAGTATAAAAACACAAACTCGATCTGCCTAGTGCTTAGGGGAACCTGAATGTCAAGTTTGGTTATCCTAGCTATTGTAGTTGCTGAGATCGTTGTGCTCATACAGACGGACGGACGGACATGGCTATATGAACTAGTCTTGTCATCCTGATCAATAATATATATACTTTGTGGGGTCTGCCACGCCTCATTCTGCCTGTTACATTTTCAGCACCCGCAAACCTAATATACTCTTGTACATTTTATGTACAGATTATAGCCGAGATGTTTTGCTGTTTTGATGTTACAAAAAAACACACACGTTTTATGGGGAAAAACAAACTTGGTTTTGAGAAGCTACCGAAGCAAGAAGCCGCGCTGTGCCTAATTGTTGCTCAGCATACAGCAATAGCGCAGATTGACCTTTTTTGAAGGTGCATACGAGAACACAAAACAAAATGCGTAAATATCATTTAAAATGTTCACCAAGATATTAAAAAACCTTGGAAAATACATTTTGCTAAGCACTTCTTGTAGAAATAAATTTAGCTTTTTACTACGCTTTTTTGTAAAAAATTTGAGCTTTTTTTCATTTTCCTTCACGTCAAAAAAAGCTTTTTTATTCTGCTCATTTAGAAAAAACATTGATGTCTTTTTCGTTATGATACATCAACATATTGCATCGATGTGTTGCGATAATATAGTATTGGAATTTCCCTCGCTCCCCCCTCTCCCATGCAAATCGTAACTCCCGTAATTCTTGAAATTTCGAACTCAAATTTTGGAAATACCCCTAGTTAGTGATTATGTGTCCGTATGCCAAGTATCACTATGATAGACTGATTTAACAAGAAGTTATAGGCATAAATATATTTGCTACCCAAGCTCTGCCCGCAGATGTTGTTGATGCTGGGGCTTTGGTTGACATAAACACATTTAAACAGGCACGGATAGACGCGCATAGACATACATACAATAACATAGGCGCAACTGCTATGTAAATGTGGAATTATACATCCTTTACGTGAGTTCGAATACCAAGAGAGGAAAAATCGATCAACAATTTTTTTTAATTTTCTTAATTTTTTAAATTTTTATCATTATTCTAAACATATGAACAAAGTATTTCAAAGTCGGGACACCCGACTTTAGCTTTTTTTACTTGTTTCGTATTCTTTCAGCATGAATGCATTCGCACCTTTACAAATTAAGCGCATTTTTGAGAGATGGTTAAAACTAGTGATGTCATGTGTAGTATAACCACAGCAGTCTGTTTGTCAATACGTAGGGTCGACTTTCACAAGCGACCGCCTCTACTGTCATAAACGAGCTGCATTATATACATAATTAGTAATTGTAAGTAACTTTTTGCATAAAAATAACTCAATAAACTACCATCATTAACCACACATAGGCAAATACTGATAGAAAATAATGATTACGGTGCCTCGTTTCCATTTTTTTTACATAAATACATAAAAATTACAAAAAGCGGGAAAAAAGCTTCCCGCAATTTCGAATATTTTCCCGCAATCTCATTTCAAAAACGACCAGATTTGACGGAATAAAGACAAATTGGCAACACTGATCCTAATCTCACACAGAAACAGTTAGAGATGGTCATAGTGGGTGCTTTTTGTTCGTGGCCCATAAATGCAATGCGTTGACAAACTGTACAACATGCCATAGAAATCTCTTCCGCCCAAGTTTCGCCTCAAAACTAATTCTCGGTGCCACAGAAATCGTTTTTGGGATGTTCCAAATCTTGGTTGCATTGCTAGGAGTTTTTATTAAAAACAGTAACAAAGACATTTTTCCAAATAAAAATAATCATTGGAATACCCTTTTAGTTTTTCTGAACTATCTGCATTAAAAATATTTTGCATATCCTACGTAAATATTATTAAATTAGCAAATTATTTAATGTATATTTAAAACACCAGCATTCACACACAGCATCCAAAACAACCAAGCAATAGAGATGCCCCATTGGCCCAAATCGAACATTCCATTTTTCGAACATCACAATTTGCTAATTTTTGCAAAGCATAGATCGCCTTAACAGGACGCAATTTTCGTCAAATTCAATTGCGAAAAATACGAAATGATTATATTTAAAATACATTTAATTTTTAATAAGTAACATTCTCCTAAACATTTGTGTTATATTTCTTCAACAATTAATTGGCGTTTCCGCAAATGCTCGCGGCTTAATATTAATGCAAATGGCATGTTTGTTTTCTATTTAACATAGTACGTTACAGAATTTAAACACAATTAGTCGGTCAAATGTACTCGTCGACAGTCAGCTGTTGCTGGCAGTTGAGTGCGTTAGAGTACTTTTACAGAATTAGTCAGTCAAATGTGAGCGTCGACAGTCAGCTGTTGCTGACAGGTGGCTTGGAGGGGAAGTTCGAAAAATTGAAATCTTTCGAAGTTCTGTGGCGCCGACGTATTTTTTGGGAGTTTTAAAAAACAACTGTAGCCGAAACCACCGGAGTTTTCTTTGGGACCCCTGATAGATGCAACATTTCATACAATGAAAACGTCCCCGCAAAATTGTAAGGGACAGCTCCCAAAGCTGTTCGGCCACGAGCCGAATGAGAGCTGTCGCACTACGGGTCAGCCAAATGGGAGCTGTCGCTCTCGTGCTCTCTGTGAGCGAATTTCATTTCATATGTTGAGTGGCAGTAGACAGAGACGGTCAGACGCTTATGCTCTTTCAAAGTGTGCGTGCACATATATTTATATGTACATACACATACACTTATAAAGAAGTAATTTTTCCAGCTGAGGTATAACTCAGCTGTGCAGGACCTTACGACAAAAGAGCTCGATGCCTACTGCAGGTTATCAATCGCCGAGTGGCCTGTGTCTTGGCATTTACCACGGCTGACTTATTCACATTGAGAGCAAACTTATTGTTGTTGGTGTTCTTGTCGAACGAATTTATTATTGGATTAATAAAATTAAATTGAATTAAACTATGCTCCTTTCCTTGCCAATGGAGTCTTTCTACATCTCGCAGAGGACACCCCGTCACAATATCCGTTGGCCAGTCGGATCATCACCTATTATATGTACGTGGAGACGTCCTAGCACACGAAGCAGGACGTGCTGCACACCGATGTTTTGGATATCGAAAACGCCAGCATGACGAAGACACTGGGCATCCGCTAGAAGGCAACTATCGATGAGTTTCTCTTCTTCGGCACAAAGATGAAGCCGAAACCTAATTTCACAAAGCGAGAAGTCCTATCGGAAATAGTGAAATTGTTCGACCTAGCAGGGTGGCTGACCCCCAGCGACAGCTGGCCGGGACAGGACCTGGCCCCACAGGAGACGAACCTGGATGATCGCAGTGTCCAATCACATCTCTTCACATGGCCCTCTGCTCCAGAACTTCTCGAACGGTTCTCCGATCTGGGAAAACTAAGAGTGATGGCATGAGTCCAGCGCTTTAGTCGGCAGTGTCGAAAGCTGCTTGTCTCGCCGTCCAAAGAGCTAAAGCAGCAGAAGTTAGCCGAGGCTCAGCGGATCCCGACGATAGATACGCAACGGTGGGAGTATCCACAAGAATACAACTCTCTGCGGGATCAGAAGAGGATACCAAACAGCAACCACTTGCTAAACTTGAACCTCTTTATGGACGACCAAGGAGTCATGCGAGCATGCGGCCACCTCGGCTCCTCTAACTCGCTGAGCTATGACGAACAATATCTGATTATGCTGCTGTACAGCTGTGCTTATTCGCGGCTCCTAGTCCGCTTCACTCACCGACTCTCATGGTGGACCCAGCTGATTGGATATTGGGTTCCTCGGATATGCAACTTAGCCAAAACAATCAACTCGTGCAAGATCTGCGTCGTGCACAAAAACGGCTGTAGACCCAGCTGATGGGAAGCCTTCCAGATCCACATAGTTCATTCCCCCCTTTTTCTCACACAGGCATCGAATACGCTGGTCCATTCGAGATCAAGAACTACACTGGCCGCGTCTGTGATCTGGTCAATGGTGGACTTTCCAGACATAAAACCGCACTGATAAGGCCCAATCAGTGCTTTCGCAAATGACTTCAGCTAATCCCACACTACGATTGTTATATTTATAAAAAAAATTGTATTTTATTTTCTTTAGAACATCGACAAATCCTAACACAAAGCTGTACAATAACGTCTATTAATGCCTTCGACACGTTGGGGGAATTTTATTTGCCAGTTGGCCAGCTATGCCTCGATTCACAGCCATATGTGGTCAGAGACATTATAGACCTAAAAAACTACACAAAAAGTATATAGAGGAGGAAAATTAATTCTATTTAAGAACTAATTAGAACAAGTAAAAAAGCTAAAGTCGGGTGTCCCGACTTTGAAATACTCTGTACATATGTTTACAATATTTGCTGCAGCAGCAAATATATTTATGGCTATAACTTCTTGGTAAATCGGTCTATCATAGTGAAACTTGGCATACGGACACATAATTACTAACTGGAGGTATTTGCACAATTTTAGTTCGAAATTCCAAGAATTACGGAGTTAGAGAAAATCACATTTGCGGGGGAGAGGGGGGAGGGAGGGAAATTCCAAAATATACATTTTCTGCGTATTCACACAAGGCACCTTGGACTAAAATTTGGTGTTCCTAGGTCTTATGGTCTCCGAGATATAGGTGATTATACGAATGGAAAATCGGGAAATCCCCATAGGGGGGAAGTGGGGGGGGGGGAAATCAAAAAAATAAAACAAACTCGTATAGAATACACACATAACGCATCTTTGTGCAAAATTTGGTGTCTCTATCTCTTATAGTCTCTGAGATCCAGGTGTTCATACGGACGGACAGACGGACAGACAGACAGACAGGGCTAGATCGACTCGTCTTGTCACGCTGATCAAGAATATATATACTTTGTGGGGTCTGCCACGCCTCCTTCTGCCTGTTACATTTTTCAGCTCCCGCAAACCTAATATACTTCCGTACATTTCATGTACAGAGTATAAAAACTAAGAAGTAGAAAAAGAAAGAGGAAAAGAGAAAAAGAAAGAAGGAAAGAGAGATAGAGAAACAGGGAAAGCGAAAGGTGGAAAGAGAGAACCAACCCGGTGTGGAAATTTTAAATGCCAGTCCGGCAAGCTATGCCCCAACTCACAGCAGTAAGTGGTCAGAGATTTCCCCGAAGATAATTATAAAGAATAGAACAGAGAGAGTCCTGTCGAAAGTAAATGTGAAAGATCATTACCCCACATGACCCGAAAACGATTGTGCAAAGCGTAATCAGTTGTCCAATATGAACGGCAAATAATTCCTTGTTGGTCTACAAGGAACTGAAAAATTAAGGCGACCTAAGAGGACAAAGGAGTCAACCTCACAGATAACCAACTTGTGGAGAAAAACTACTCCAAGGACCCTCCTACGATTTACTAAGGAAGGAAGGTTTATAAGCATCAGTCTACTAGGGTACGATGGCAAGCAGAGATTGGGATCCCAGCTAAAACCACGTAGAGCAAAAAGAAGGAATTGCTTCTGAACAGACTCAATACTTTCCTGATGCTTTCTATACTACGGAGACCAAGCGCATGAGCAGTATTCAAGTACAGGGCGTACTAGAGCAGTGTAAAGAAGCTTAGTGGTATAAGGGTCATTAAATTCCTTGGACCTACGTTTATATTAAAGTCCAAGTAATCTCTAGGCCTTATTGACAATACTAGATATGTGAAGGTTAAAGTTCAATTTGGAATCAAAAAGAACCCCAAGGTCTTCAACAGTCGATATACGTTGCAATGGCACATTGTAAATCGTATACGTCCCTAAATGAGGCAAGGTTCGGTGAAATGTAATGAACTTACATTTTGAGCAATTGGGGTGTAAGTGGTTAGCTGAGCACCAAGATTGCATGGAGCTCAGATCATCCTGCAGGCGATGAAAATGAGAAGGGTCTTTGTAAGTCAGAATAAGTTTCACATCATAAGAATATGAGAGTGTGGCAAGGTAGCGGGGAGGTCATTAATTAATAATGTAAAAAGTAAGGAGGGAAATACTATACGACTTAGCTTAAAGAGCAGAAGATCATGGTTCACAGAATCAAATGCTTTGCTGAAGTCAGTGTAGACGACATCAATGCTTCATTTAACAAGAAAGTAAATTCCAGCAAATTGGTCGTAGTAGACAGTCTCTTTAAGAAACCATGTTGAGCCGGAGATATGACTTTTTTTTTAAAATAATTTCGGTATTTCAAACAACTTTGCAATTCCTCTGTAGTTTGAAATATCAGACTTACCACCCTTTTTATGAAGAGGAATAATAAAAGATTCTCCCCAAATAGCTTGAAAGATTAAGGAACCAAGTGACAGATT